CAATTTTTGCCTTGTATAATTCAGTAACTCCCCCCCCCTCCCCATACCCTAAATTATAGGATTTTCACAAAGGGGGGCGTTGAAAAATTTTACGCTCCTTAGGGGGGCGGCAGCTTCAAAAAGGTTGAGAATCACTGCTGTAGAGTATCCCCTTTCTGAAGTTTATTGGACTTAAGTATGCAGCTTGGATTTTAAAAAATAAAAGGGCAGTCAAAAGATGAAAAGGTCATTCTGATTGAATCAAGAGATATGCTTTGTTAATCTCATTTTTTAAAAATAGAATATTATTTCAGGGAAAGGAAAGAATGAACCTGAACATTAACTGAATCTGTGCAATTGCTGGATACTTGGGCATGACAAGTAGACCTCTGGAGAAAACTTTGGACAATCAGTTTTATCATTACTCCTTGGTCATATGCTAATCCAATCAAGAGTGGATTTTCCAGATAATGGGCCAATCAAGATTAAGTCAAGTATCTTTTGCATTTTTTTTTTTTTTTTTTGCTTCTCCCATAGTGACATTATCCTTTCAGGACACCTTTTTGTTTTCTATTGGCTAAATCCAATCAAAATGTGCTTCAGCCTTTTGTTTTTTCCCCCTCTTCTATTTCTAGTTTTGTAACTGCAGTCTACTAAGACCAATAATCTGTCATTTAACCAACTACACCATTTGAGCAAACCCACATTGTTAGCCAAGCAAAGTGACTATCCCAGAGTCTCCAAACTCTGTCTTTCCCTCACAACCTTGCGGGGGGGGGGGGGGAAGATTCATAGACTGTTTCATTTGAAGAAGACTTGATGTTCCCAGTGAGACAAGAACCAAGTGTGGTCTACAGAAAAAGACTCCTGTTTTTTCTAGATAGGGCTATAACTTATTCCTATTCCAAAAGATCACACCCCTCACCTGAAGGACTAAGCAGAATAAAATAGAAGGAAAGTTTCTCAAGGAATATAAAGCAAGGCAAGTTGTAGCCATAAGGTCTCAGCCAATATAGGTCAGGAAAATGAATTGCAGAGCTTTCTGGTACTGGAGTAATTCCTTGCTGAACTTTATATTTTATTTTATTTTATGTTATGTTATGTTATGTTATTTTTTTATTTTATTTATTATTTTAGGCCTAGATCCCAGTTACCTCTGCTTTCCAGCTCTTCTCCAGAACACTCAAAAGAGACTTTCAGGAAAAACAAACAAACAGTCTTTTGTATCCTATCTTTTACCTTCAGGGAGAATTTTTATCTCCAGTTTGGAACCTAACCCACAGTTCCATCTACCCCCAATTTGTTTCTTTTTCTGCCAACCTCTACTTAACAGGATAATACACTTAAAAGGCAGAATATAAATCAGATAGAAAGGGAGGAAGGAATGAGCAGTAGAAAACAGTATTTTTTCCTTTTATTAGGATTCCTTTCTAATTTTCAATGCTGCTGTTGCCCATCCCCCAATTTTACCAAAAAGTCTTTCTAAAGCAAACTTTGTTCCCTTTTCTTAATGGTCCCAGACAGACCGAAAGGCTACACCAGAGTCACAGAGCTAACACTGATTTGGGAACTCTGCTTAATTTGCATTTTATCCTTTCCTTTATATTTTGAATAGAATTACTAATTTAGCTAAAATGATTACAATATTAGATTCTTTAATGCTTTATTTGCAGCTTCAGATAATTAGGCATTATTTTTAGTCAGTGATTTAAAAAAATCCCCAAGTATAAATTTGATCAAAGCTTTGTGAGAGCAGCAGAATAGCAGTATCACTGTACTATAATGGTTCACTTTTCTACTTCCTGCATCCTAAATTCACTAGAAGTGAGATATGCGCAGTATCTTCACTTATTCTGCCACAGAAGGAAATCACCTTTGCTGCAATGTAAAATCTTTTCTGGGTTTTTGCTTAGACTTGGCATTATTAGGAAACCTAGGACCTCAGAAATTGTTTTCTGAGAAAAGTCTAAGATTTGTAAGACATAACAGTCATATCTCAGTTCACTTAGTACATTTACAGCAAGCCACAGTGAAATGATTCAGATTTACTTCCAAAAGATGATAGCTGGATATCTCCTGCAGAGATTTTGTTAATACCACCATGATCAAATGAGTTGCTAGTCTAGACATTGGAACGTACAGGAAGAAAGATAATGGTGTCAGGAAAAATAAAGGTCAAGAAATGTGTGAACTGGACTTGGAATCGCTGAGTACCAAGGACAATCTCCAAACTCTTTGTTTGACAAAATAATTAAGGCTGCAGTGTATGCTTTACTTGGAATCAAAAATCCTACTGATTTCAGTGGGAATGACTTCAAAGTAAACATGGAAAGGATAGTATTACAAATGTAAGAATATAGCAGTACCCTGTTGAACTCCACAGCCTACTTACAGTTCTTTTCTCATATCAACCTGATCTGACTAAAGCTATAATATTTATTTCATTCTTCCAGTGGCAGAAATATCATACTATATTTCTATATAGTACTATATATACACAAACATATGACTCTTGTTTCCAGCCCAGAAGTCATCTTCTAGGTCATATTATTAAATCAATAGTTTGAGAAACTGTTCCTCACCTGGAAAGTACCAGCATGATCTTCTTCTTTGTCTCCCTCTTTGCCTTCTTTCAAAGCAATCAATGTGAATCCACGAAAATAGGCTGGTGTAGCTGCAGATAGTGTTACTGCAAGAGGAAAGGAAGAAAAATACCACTTTTGAAATCCATAAAGTTGTTTCTTCTTCTTCTTTTTTTAATCCCAAACCTCTTTCTAGAATCTGAGTGCCCTCAAACATGGAGTCTTCAGTGGATTCTCCTAAACTTGAAAAGGGAAGACATGTAATCCGAGAATACCTTTAGTCTAACTAGAAGATGGTATGATGGACTCTTTGCAAATACTGTGGCCCTGGCAAATGTTTCACATTGCCTCCTTTTTTATAAACTGAAGAAAGAAGATTAGTAGTTTATTTGGCAGAAAGCAGGTCTCGTTTTTTATAGGGAACATCAAATATAAATTGAACAGATTCCCGCTTTCCCAACTGGATTTCCCTTCAAAGATGCTCCCCTAACTCTCCTAAGTAAATTTGATGAGACATAAGAAACAACTGGACACTGTTTAATTAATCGTACTATTTCTGATAATAGAAACATTTGAGTACTTCACTTTTCATGCAGGTCTGTTTCTAGGCATGCCGCATGTTACTAAGATTGCTTCCATGGGCATATTTTCAAACTTGTCTAACATTCTTCTCACTCAGGCCTGGTTGTTCCCTAGTGGAAAATATACCGAAGTAGAAAGTAGACAGAAATATGGTGAACATTTAAGCTTTCTTGTGAGAGAGCTCAAAATGGCCATTATCAACAAAATCATTGCCAAGAAACAGAAGGCATTAGGGATGAGCAGTGCTTCAGATTTGATCTCAAAAAGTTTATCTAGAGCCCATGGAAGGAATTATATAGCATCCACCTCTGCAACAGACATAAGGTGATGCTGAGAGGTGCCACCATTCACACTCCACCCTCCACAGTACCTTTTGGAGACTAAGGCTAAATACATGAGACAAAATGTTCATACAAAGATTGAGCCAAGTACCACTAAAATACCAATGCCAGCTCTCCTATTTTAGAGATGGGCAATTTATTTATTTATATTTATGTATGTATCAACTTTGTCACTGCCCATCTCATTGAAACGACTCTGGGCAGTTTGCAGCAAAGATAAAATTCATTAAAATACAATATAAAACAATCCTAATAATAAATAACTTCCAAGAAAGCTATATAAATGCTGTACTATGTCTGGCTACCCAGAGGTAAGCCCCATTAGGTTCAACTGAACGATTTCCTAGGGAAATGTGCATAAAACTATAATCTTAGTGGCATCCATAGCCACATACTCTGCCAGACAGGTTATGGTCTTTTCTGAAACAGTGCTTATTGAAAGTAAACATTCTCTTAATTGCCTTGGGCTGCCTGCTGCCAGCAGTTCTGGCAGCTGAAGAAATAGGCTGCCACCTACAAGCACTTATGCTGAATTAAAATTAGTCTACTTGAATCAATTAACCAAATATGAATAAAGATACCACAGAATACAAAAATAAAATGCATTTGGTTAGAATTGACTTCTGATTTCAGTTATAAAGAAGTACTGACATTTCACTTGCACTGTTGCCATTGTCTCAAAGAATGCTCAGCTCACATGTCACACACTATGACACAATGTGGTTTGTTTGGTTTTGGCTTAGCATGTTCTTCAAATCCATCACATTTGCCTTAGCATAATGGATGAATCTATCCAATCTGTAATTTTAAATGAACTGTGATTTACATACTCACCCATGACCAAATAAGGAATTGAAACTGAATATCTTCAGTTCTAGTCCAACATTACAACCATTACACTTCAATGATCCAACCACAATGACCCACTCAATAGCAATCTGAGGTGCTAAAGTTCACAATCTTATCTTCTCCTCCTATAGGCACTTCACAATATTGCCAAAGGTACAAGAATGTTCATATATTAATAATAGTCAAAGACCCCTGTCTGAAGATTGAGAATTCTGATTTGCTTAGCATTACACTAATTTGAGGATCAAATGTTCTGGGAATGCAGCATCAGAGATGTCCTAGATGGCTAAGTTGCACATGTGTTGATGAAAAGCTGGAAAGAGAATGGATCTTTCTAGCTCTAGTATAACTGATATTACCACAATCAGAGGCAATCTGTTGTGTATCATTCCATTTTCATTACAGCACTTGCTGCTACAACAATAACTATAGGTTGTTGCAGGATGGAGCATCTTCCTTCCTTCCTTCCTTCCTTCCTTAACAAATGGCTGCCCATCCTATATACAGTAACCCTGGGCAGTTCACAGCAAGATCAATAAAATATAAAAAATAAAAATCGCACCACATTGCACTATGTATGCATATATGTACATTGTAGCACTATACTACACTACACCATGTATGTCTGTTGACAATCTGAGCAATTGTACCATGTTCTAATTCATTGAATCAACTTCAAATTTATATCTTCAAAGAATGGTGATGATGCCTTGGTAGAAGACATCCACACCTTAATATTTTGCCAACTCATTTCATAAATGTATCAGAAAATACTTTTTTCCAGAAAATATGAGGGTTTTTTCTACAGCATAACTCTGGCTTAAAACGTATTCAACTTCTTTTCTCCCTTTGCTTCCCCCTCCCCCCCCCATAAGGGATTTCTTCTGTGTGTGGATGAAACACGTATAGTTGTCTGTACAGCATACCAGAAGACAATGTTGCTAAACTCTAATTACCAGAGCTTGGCTGCAGCCGCATCCAACCATGCAATATAATACATCTGCAATTTTCACAAATGACAATGGCTTGAATCCAGGATCTTCTGTCTAAGGACACAAGGTTCTTTCTGTCAGTGAAAGATGTTTAACCCAGCAAATAATTTCTACCAATTGAAGGAGGAGAACATATGTTTATCCAAGTCCACCTTCTTTAGCTCTCATGACCCCAGAAACTCTGGGTACCAAAACTAAGAAAACCCTTGTTTGGATAATTATCTATCCCCAGACACTGCCCACTGGCAATACTACAAGCACAGATCTTCCAAAGATTTCAGGAGATACTTCACACAGTAAGATGACTAACTAGAGAAAGCAACAGATGATTTGAAGATGATCTCATTGTTAAGAAAGTCCTTTGAAAGAGTAAGTGGGTTTTCTTTTAAATGTTCAAAGGATGGATACGTGTTTGCATTTCCAGTAAAGGAAGCCCTACTATATAAACTATTCAAAGGAACAGAGCTGATCAGCTGGGGAGAGGCTAACTCCCAGTACTTAGCTGTAACCTTTATTTCCAACCAATCTATCAGCTAATATGGCCTGCAAAAAGTCACTAAGCAAAACTGGATTTAATATTTGCTGAACTGCCTTACCCTAAGTGCTATTAAGATTCTTTCTAAATATCAAAAATAAAAATAATGATTAACTCATGTCTGAATGTTTAGACTTATAAATCTAAACAAATAGTCACAAAAAGAACCATATAATGAAAAATAAAAAGCTAAGCCAAACAACAAATAGTATTTGAATGTTATACCAGCAGTTCATTAGGTCAATATTTTCCATTCCCATTACTTCTTGTATAAATCCTATTGTACTTATAAGAAATACACAGATATTCTCCCTACAAACAAAAGTGACAGCATCACCAAAAAAAAAAAAAAAGGGTCTAAAGTCTTTTCTTCCAGATCACAGCATTACAAAGCATCAATTAAATGGAGTAAGACAAAATGTTAAGAGTGCATTTCAGAAGGGAATGGATCTCTGTCCCCTGTATTTTTATACTTTTCACTGATCTGTGAACTTTTGTACTTTTGGTCAGTACAAACCCAAATGCCACATCAAATTGTTACAAGAGTGGGATGACAAGGGAATTAAAAAAAAAATCTTTTGACATATAATGGACAACACTGTACGATGCTAATGAAGCTGATGGCAAAAAACTATTTATTCCTTTAAGGAGTCAGGAGATTTATAATGGTAAGTACTGGAGTGTTCCAACATTCTGCTGGAAAAATCAGTCCGAATGTTGGTATTCCAGCCTAATTTTTAATCAACACAGTTTATTCAGCATGATTCACTGTTCTGCTTGCACGAATCATGTTCTATCCCTTGTTCTAGTATTTTCTTCCATGAGTAAAGGCAATTCAAAGTGTTCATGAGCAATATGACTTATCTCCTAATGTTACCATCTTGCTGAAGGCACAACCTCCCAGACTTATTAGATTGCATGAGTCTAGTGTTATTAGGACCCTTCTCAGTCCTTCCTACTACAAAGAAAAATCTGAATATATGAATATTAAAGCTTAAAATCCAAACAGTCACAGCATTTCACTATCAAAATGTTTCTGCATTTTAAAGGAATGAAAAAATATATTCTTTGTAAAAGTCTGACTCACAATTATGAAACAGAACGTAGGTAGAATTTAATCCTTCCATCCTGATAATATCATGCCAGCTTATAACACAGTAAAAACTTCACTGCGAGTGATATAGCATCCTTTCCCCCTCCTCCATTATAACTTTGAAGGAACTAAGCCAACTGATGGAACTTTCTTCCAATGGAAAGTTCCACGCTACTCATTTCAAGCAACTTAGACTGTAAACCTAACTAAAAATAAATAAATAATGTGTTAGCTGGAGCATGTCAAGAGAAAGAAATGAATGAATTACTGGAGTTCACATGACATGATAAACTAATCTCACCTGACATGCTGGGTTCCTGTGAATACATGGTTAAATCTAAGTGATACTGACAACGCTTGCTAATTCTCCTGATCTGTGCCTACTCCTTCAGCAGCAACTATTAAATTCATTTGAATTCCTGTTGCTGAATTGAAATTTCCAATAAGTGAATGCCATCCAACACTAATAACCAGATTGTTGAGGATTGTCAATAGGATCTAGAACTTCCATAAGTGATTCTGGGAGATTTTAATATCTCAGATAAATAATATTTCTTTGCTAAAGAAGTATACTCTATGTGGTCCTCTCATGACTTAATATTATTAGAGGCTCCATCTACTCATTGTCAAGGAAACGTGATCTGAACTAAAGATATGTCTGTGGTATTTATTTATTTAGCTTTTATTAATTGAATGCTAAAATGAAACAGGTAGA